TGGTTGTACAACTTCGTGAACGGCAATAAATACCACTGAATTGTACACACTGTAGTAATTAATCCTATGTTATGTGAATTTCACCTCAATTAAAAGAGAAAATAACCCCCAGCGCTGTGGTGAAGATTAAGTGAGTCCAGTGGGTTTGTTTTTATCGCATGTGGGCAAACATGAAACTAGCTTTATTCCCATAATTGCATTAACCCGTCTGTGCCTGGATCCCTCCACAGGCATGGGGCAACAACTTATTGGAATCCCTTTAAGGTTTCCAGGCTTTTAGTTCAACTTGGTTACTAAAATCTCACTCACGGTGCAGTTTATAATTTCAATACAGGCCTAGCTCAGACATACTGCGGGTTTGGCTCCAGACCCCTGTAATAAAGCGAGTATGGCAATCAATCGAGTTGTAACCTTTTTTCTGGTGGAGGATCTTGCCTTCAGTTTGTTAAAGACACATCATCTGTAAAGCACAATAAAACTAGAGGTGCCTGCATCCTTGTTCTTCCCGGTCCTGCTGCTTCTGCACCAGGTGGGCTGTGCCTGGCTGCAGGGAGCACAGGTGAGGAGGGAGGGCTGAGAGGAGGCACGTGGTGGCAGGTTGCTGAGTATGGGAGGTGGCAAAACTGGCTCACAGTCACTTCCTGGGGCTTCCCTTGCCTGAGTCATCGCCACGTGGCTCCTGGCCACAAAGCCTCCTCTGGGTGCTGCCGGGGATGGCGGTTCTCTCCCTGCTCCAGCAGGGCGGTCTCAGCGTGGGTGCTGGACAAGCTTCCTGGGGCAGCATTCAGCCAGGCCCCACTGAGGACCCCAGGGGGCAGCTATGTCCCCCCCCCGCCACCCGCCCCATTCCAAAGCTCTCCTGGTACTAGCTTGGCTGTGACTGACCACTCAGGCCACACAAAGGTTCTCACCCCCACCCCCTCCCCGCCAACCAATGCCTGGTTTCCTTCTGAGAGTCCCTGTGTCCTCCCAGCTTCTGGCGCCCCAGCCGCTTAGGGCGAAGCTCTGCTGAATTCCAGTCCGCTGCCTGCTTTATCCCTGGCCGCTAGCTACAGGAAGCATTTAGTTCTCCTCCTCCTCTGGCTTTATGCTCGGTTTTTCATTGACACCAGGCTAACATTTTCTTTCAGCCACTCAATAAGGACAGATGCCGCGCACGCAGTTGATGGCTCCTCCCTCGTCGGTCACTGGCCTGTCGCAGTTGTTACGCGATGGACTCTAGGAAACCAGTCGTTGAGGAAAAAGGAATGGCAGAGAGAGAGAAGAAACAGACATTCTTAGCTTTTGTCCCCACGCCAGCCCTTGTCGGCTGAAAGCACACTCACGGCCCCCCACGCCCCCCCCACCCCAGACGCCTGCTTGCCAGCACTTTACATTCTGGTTCCTCTGAGGGAGCTGTCACCGAAGACATGTCAAAATGTTAGGGCTTTTCAGACTGAAATGGAAGAAGGCGAGGCCTGTCTCAAGCCTCCCTTGCCCCAGGTAAAGCTGCAAGTGCTTACAGACACCGCCATCACAGTAAGTATAAAAATGGCAGTTTCCTCTCCCTGCAGTAACCTCCTCCGATCCTTCCAAGCCCAGCTCAAGGGCTATACTTCTGGGAAGCCTCACCCACCCCCGAGGAGCAGTTAGGACCCCGTTCTCTGTGTGCCCCATGGGGTGGGCCCGGGGCCCATGAGACGTCAGGTTGGAAGGACAGAATGCTTGGCACAGCGCCTTTCCTCTCTCCCCGGCAGGAGTGTCCGGTGAGGGCCACTGGACATCGTGTGTGTATGTTAACTGGTGCCGTAAGCTACGAAGCACCACGTTAAAAATAAGAGCTGGCTGGGTTTAGTTAGTTGCTTGTACCTGTGCCTGGACTATGAGCTCTTTGATGACAAGGATGCTTTACTTATTTATTTATATTTTTAAAATATGTTTTTATTGATTTTTTTAGAGAGAAGGGAAGGGAGAGGGAGAGATAGAGATAGATGGGGAAAGAGAGAAAGAGAGAGAGAGAGAGAGAGAGAGAGAGAGAGAGAGAGAAGCATTGATGTGGGAGAAACATTGATCGGTTGCCTCCCGCATGTGCCCTGATGGGGAATCAAACTAGCAACCTTTCGGTGCATGGGACTGAGCCACATCGTGTAAAACGTAGCCTCAAACAAAAATTAAAAGATACAACTATGTGAAGACTACACAAAAGCAAGGACTGAATAAACATGTGGTTTGATTACAGAGCTTTTCTATGATTTTTATTACGAAGTTAATTTAATAAAAAATGTAGCCTCAACACTTTACACGACGTTGAGTACAAAAGTAGGCACTTGACAGACGTGCCAGGAGGGCAGCTGCTTTACCCAGGCCGACAGCCGGGCCAGGAAGGCTGGCACCTGGCGCCTTAGAGCAGCACAGCTGCTGGCTTTGCCTGTGGCGAGGCCCTGGCCGGTCTTCCTCTGGGACTCCTGTGATCTGGTTTGCCTTCGCTGCTCCCAGGAGCTCTTGCTACCAACTCCTCCAGACTCCTGGCACCCCCCACTTGCTCCCCCTGCCACCCAGCACTTGACCATGGCCTCTGTCTTCAGCTCCCCCCTGGCAGGTTCACAAACAGGACCTGCCATAGCCTCCCCAGCACTGAGCCCTGCTTGATGGACCCAGGTTTTGTCTCCTTAAGCCAGACTTCAGGCCTCACGTGTGATCCCAAGCTCAGTGCATGTATATCAGAGTTACAGAGAACATCAGTGCTGTGAACTGATGGGCTGCAGCCAAGCATGGGCAGGCCTGGGGTCAGGTCCTGGCTCAGCTCCTTACTAGCTGTGTGACCAGGACCAGCCACTGAACTTCTTAGAAGCTCAGTTTTCTCATCGGCGCATGCAAGTTAACACACACACACGCGCACACACACACACACGCGCACACACACACGCACACACACACGCACACACACACACACATACACATACACACACACGCCCCTAATGCAGAGGGTCACTGTGAAGAGTAAGTACGATGACACACAGTAAGCCTCTGGCCTGTGCTTGACACACAGCAGATTCTCAGTAAGTGTCGGTTTCCTCCCTTTCCTGTTTTCAGGGAAGTCTCGTCCGAGTCTAAAAGTCCACGAGCCTTTGAAACACAGGTGCCCATGTTAAACTACAACCTGGGAAGGTCACCACGCTGCTAGAAAGTTTATCTTCCCAGAGGAACAAGGACCCCAGGAGACCTCGGTGTCCCACAGAACAGCCTCACCCCAGTGAAAAGCCGGGCAGGTCGGAGCGGGTGTGGAAGGTGTTCAGAGCTCACACAGCACACCGACAGAGCAGTGAAAGCAGGAGGGGTCTTCCAAGAAGCAGCGAGTGAGGAGAGCTCTGGGAGGCCTGGGCATGACCCCAGGGCTCAGAGGGAGGGCAGTGACCTGAGAGCAGGTGACTCTGTACACGGCTGGGAGCACAGGGCTCACCCAGGAACCTCTGCCCTCGGCAGGGTGGAGCGTGCAGTCTCCGACACAGACGCCCAGGAAAACGGGAGAACCGAGGCAGCACGTGCCCTCTTGGCCAGGCCTGTGAAATGGGTACATTTGGGAGATGCAGCGCTGAACAGAAAGGTGGTGGCAGCAGAGGGGAGGGCAGCCAATGGAGTCAACTTGCTGCTGTCCCTGGGAGCAGTGGTCCTGAGAGGGGTCCCAGGACCTGCTGTGTCAGTGTCACCAGGGTTTGTTAGAGATGCAGATCAGCAGGTCCCACCCGCCCCCCTACAGACCTACTGAATCAGAAACTCTAGGGGTGCGACCAGCGGTCTGGATTCTAATAAGCCCTCTTTGGGTGACGTGGATGCTGGCTGAAGTTTGAGAACCATCGACTTGGCGGGTGCTTTGCTCACTAACCTGAAATCTCCTTCCCATTTTGAAGTGATGGGAGATGGCATGACACTGGAATGGTTATAACTTTCAGAGACAATATCTGAGTTCAGAGCCTGGCTCCGCCCCCAAGTGGCAGTGTGGGCTTCGGCGAATCCATTTACCTCTCCGAATCCTGATTTCTTCAAGTGTAGCATCTCTACTATGCAGGATTACATGGTCAGGTTTAGAGAGCATGTATGGAAAGTATTTAGCAGAGTATCTGGCACATAGTAGGTGCTCACCATCACTACCACCATCACCGCCATGACCAGGAGGAAGCCCCTGCTGAGTAACAACCATAGATGCCTCTAAGGAAAGTCATCAGGCCACACAGGGAGCATCTTGACCCATGAGTGTTTAATAAGCTGCTCAGGATGTTACTTTGTGCCACCTGTCACCTGGCTGCATCTTCATTAAGCGAGGGACGACGCAAAGATAATAAGCACTTTCCAATTTGAAGAGAAACTAACTTCCCTATCTAATTTGGATATACCAAGCAAAGCCCCAAGGAGAGAAATAATTCTTATAATATAACCAGACATTTCCCCACCCTACCACTTTCCCTTTCCCCTTTAGATAAGCCCCTTAAGCACACAGAAGCCCTGGGTAAATATTTGCTGAATGTTGAATGAATGGATTGACTCAATTTGATTTGAAAATGCCCAGCTGTTGTGCAATATAAGGAAGCCAATTTGTGACCAGACCTTTAGTCTCTTGTGGAGGAAGCATGGCAGCCATAGTACCTACAGGGTAATACATTGAAATCTGAAGAAATGAGGCACTGGGGGGACTAGAAGAGACCAAGTCACCGGGACAGGGGATGCAGGTGGTTTTCTGAACTTGGTGAAGGCCTTTATGAGGAGACGGCTAGTGGCGCTCACCCCTGGCCGTGCACATGGCATCTTTTTTTTTTTAAAAATATTTTATTGATTTTTTACAGAGAGGAAGGGAGAGGGATAGAGAGTTAGAAACATTGATGAGAGAGAAACATCGATCAGCTGCCTCCTGCACACCCCCTACTGGGGATGTGCCCGCAACCAAGGTACATGCCCTTGACTGGAATCGAACCTGGGACCCTTCAGTCCGCAGGCCAACGCTCTATCCACTGAGCCAAACCGGTTACGGCTCATGGCATCTTCTTTCACGCCCAGTGCCGCAGTAGTCGCCGTGTGGGCTTCCCTGCTTCTAGCTTGACTTTCTCCACTCAGCTTCCCCATCGTCTACAACACATGTTATCTTTCACCCCCACTCCCTGCTCGCAGGATGAAGTCCCCATGCCTGGCAGGACGGCAGGGTCCTTGGCAATTGGGTCCCAACTTCCACGTCCAGCTTTACTACCCACAGTCAGTGCCTCGCCACACCTAAGTCCCGCCTGCTAGAGCCCTGCTCGGCCACACCCCCAGCCCCTGACTGACAGGCCGGGGCCGCTCTTGTCTGCCTGGAGGACCTGGACTCCTCTTCCCAGCCCCTGCTCCAGGCAGTTTTCTGTGAAGTGGGCCCGCCAACGCCCAGTGGCATCTTGAATGCTTTCCAAAGTCTCTACTGGACCTGAACGTCCCTCTACCGCCTTTTCCAACCCACGGATTCCTAGTCTTCAGGACTTGGCTCTTTAAAAGTTTTTAAAAATGATTTCTTGATGTAATTCCAGACTTAAAGGGAAGTTGCAAGGATAGTACAAAGGATTCTTGTACACCTTCCACCCAGATTTCCTAAATATTAAGGTTTTGCCACATCTGCCTTAATCTTATCGATCTAGATGTATCATTTTATTTTTTTCTAAACTATAGACATTATACTTCTCTATTCCTTCAATGTGCATGTTTTCCAAAACCAAGGACATTCTCTGACATAATTACCAAACAGTTATCAAAATTAAGAAGTTAACTTTGATGCCAACTGTTACCTAATATGCAGATGTTATAGCAAAGGAAAATCCCGGATCATGCACTACATTTAGTTGTCATGTCTCTTCAGTATCTCTCTTTCGTGTCCCTTAAACTAGAACAGTTCCTTGGTCTTTTGTTTGTTTGTTTTGGTCTCTCGTGACAATTGACATTTTTAAAGTGTCTGGGCAGTTATTTTATAAAAAGTACCTCATTTGGGGTTTGTTTGATGTCTCCTCACGAGGGGTTCGTGTTGTATAGATTTGGTCAGCGCATCAGCATCGCAGAGCTGATGCTGTGTTTGTCTTTGTGTCACAGCAGGAGGCATATGACGTTGCTTTGTCCCATTCTGGTGATGTTAACATTGGTCAGGTGGTTGACTTGTTGATACATATGACTCCTCCCCTGGCCCATGAGGCCCTTCTCAAGGTCCAGGAGGGGCTCCATCCGACGTCCAGTACTTGAAGATGTGGAGATGCAGTGAGGTGAGAGTCAAACACTGACTCAGCCGGGCTCTGTGGCTGCTTCTCTGCTAAACTTCCCGGCAGCCCTATACGAGTCATTTAGTGGTGGTGGTGCTCAGTTGACAGGTGTGCTCAGGGAAGAGGAGTAAATTGCCTAAGGGCACTTGACTGGTAAGTAGCAGATCCAGATTCAAATCCAGTTCCATTTGCCACCTCCCATAACACTAATGCCCCGGAGACAATAGACAGTCAATAACAACCATTGTTTTAAAAAGTGTTTTAAATGGAAAAATCTAACACCAAAACCATAAAAAACAACAACCTTAATACCTTAATACCATCCTACATCAGTGAAGATGGTTTTTACTCATGTATCCCATCAACAAATGTTTATGGTGGGTCTACTATGTACCAGGCAGTGTTATAGATCATAGGGGTGTGGTAGTGAACAAATAGCTTGCATTAGAGTGTGCTGGGACTCTGCAAGTACCAGCAAATCCAACTAAAGTGACTTGAACAATAACAAGAAGACTCACTGTAGAGCAGCTCCAGGGTTGACTGAGCAGCTCCAAGATGTCAGGGCTAAGGTTTATAGTCTCTGGAATTCTCTTAGCTTTCCCCTTGGGAAACAAGATGTTTGCCTTAGTTTTAAGCAAGACATTCTCAAAGGGAACAAAGGGGACATCCCTGTATATTGGGAAAGAAAGTCTCGCTAGAATCCTCCCAATAGACTTCCCTTCCACCTCATTGGCCAGAACCTGGCCAGAACCACATCACCAGCCCATGCCTACACCCACCACTTGGCAAGAGGCGTGAGGCACCACCCAGACCACCTCCTGGCTCAACCGTCCCCAAAGCACTGGGTTGTCAGAAGAGTAGGAGGAGAGTGAACAAAATCGCAATTTTCTTTTAAGAAGAAAAGAGGGGGAAAGGTTATTGAGAGGGCAACTGACAGTATTTGTCAACTCTCCCATTTACTTACCAAATATTTACAGACTCTGGCTTCTTAGAAACTCCTGTTTATACAAATATAAAGTCGCCTCATTGCTGTTCCTCATATTCATTGTATCAAATTCTACTTTTTTACTTGCTAAGTTACATAATGTCTCTACATCTATCCCTCTGTCTCTTGTCTCATTCCAAAATAAGGTCTCCAATTTCTGAGTGCACAGAACCTTAGCCAGGGAAGATTTTAAAAATATTCAATAACTGCTTCCAGGATGTTCATGGACCACTGCACAGGGCAGGGCCTGGAGGGTTCGGCTGCGCCAGCGTTCACCATTTAGTTGCTGGATGGGGAGACCCAGTGGAAGGGCCAGGAATGCTGGGAAGACACTCAGGTCCGCTTTCTCAACTGGTATGGAAGTATTTATTTCAATATTTTAACAACCAGAATGACGGTACCCATGGGACAAGCTGGACATTGGCTCCAATTCTCACAAGACCATTTGCACTGTCAATATACTGTCTATGGCACAATCTTCCCTGATTCTGCCTCAGGGTCAGGCATTTGGGTTGCCTCCATTTAAAAAAATATATATATTTTTTATTGATTTCAGAGAGGAAGGGAGAGGGAAAGAAAGGCAGACACATCAATGATGAGAGAGAATCATTGACTGCCTCCTGCATGTTCTCTACTGGGAACCAAGCCCACAACCCAGGCATGTGCCCTGACCAGGAATCGAACCGGTGACCTCTTGGTTCATAGGTCGATGCTCTGAGCCACACAGGCTGGACTGCCTCCAGTTTTAACTGCAGTATTCAGCTCAGTTCTAAGCATCTCTGTATACACCTTTGTTATAATTTATAATATCTAAAAATGTATTTATATGACATATGTGTATTTATAACCACATCCTTCCTATTTTTTATTTGTTTCCTTGGAACACATTTCTCAAAGTGGTGCTCCAAGGTCAAAGGGTATGACCACTTTTATAATTTGTTGCAGTGATTTAAAAAGCATGAACCAATGGTTTAGAAACATTCTTACCTACTTTTTCATAGACTACTGCTGCTGGAGTGTGGGGAGGCACATGGTGCAGTGGGAAGAGGGTGGGCATTGGGATGAGGCGAGCTGGGCTCAGTTCTGGGCGGTGTTACTTTTCAGTAGGGCTTGGGGACCTGGCAGTCCCTTAGCCTTTCTGAAGCTTGGTGTCCCCAACTGTAAAACAGGGGAGACGCCATCTCTCTCAGCACCAGGCACAGTAGCATCCATTGCCTCTGCCTGTTCCTGACATTGGCCTGAGGTCCTTGCCACCCTTGCCACGCCCTTACCAGGGCTCACCTTTGAGAGATTAACTATCCGTGTCCTGGAGGGGGCTGGGTTTGTACCAGAAGGCAGTGTGTAGACTGCCACCTTCTGGTGTAAAGAGCCAGTGTTCAGATGACGCAGGGCACCAAGCTGCTCCCTGTGTGTCCCATGAGGGTCTGTCCCAACAGCGAAGCTGCAGAAGGAAGGGGAGGTCCTCCCCACCCAGACTCGCCCTGGTGTTGGTGGAGCTTTACGGCGATGTCCTCCTCCTGCCAGTGAAACCTGTGGAGGGAGAGGCTGGGTTTTGAAAAAGCTGCTTGTAAATGATGGTGTTTTGGGTTTTGAAGACGGTGAAGGTGCTGGCAAAGGCACCTTTGCAAAAGCAGGAGGCCTGCCAGTGATCTATTTAACCCTGTTTAGGGAGGCTGACGGCAGTGGTCAGTCAGTCCACACACATTTACAGAACCTACCCTGTGCCAGACAAGTGCTTTGGCAAACAACGTTGAATAAGACAGCCAGGGTCCCTACTGTTCTTGTCTAGTGGGAAAGTTAGGGGATAAGAGCACTTATTTTAAAATAAGTATAATTTTTTGCCCTGGCTGGTGTGGCTCTGTTGATTGGAGCATCAAACACTGAAAGGTTGTGGGTTCAATTCCGGTCAGGGCACATAACCAGGTTGCGGGTTTGAGCCCCCATCAGCAACCTGAATCAATGTTTCTCTCTCACATCACTGTTTCTCCCTCTCTTCCTTTCCTCCCTCTCTAAAATCAATAAACATATCCTCGTGTGAGGCTTAACTTTTTTAAAAAAATTAATATACTTAAAAAAATGAAACGCTTCATAAATTTTCAGGGGCCATGCTAATCTTCTCTGTATGGTCACAATTTTAGTATACATGCTGCCGAGGTGAGAACTATACTCTTTTATTTATGTAATTGAAGGCAAAATGGCATCTATAACAGAATTTTAAACATAATATTTCACTTCCTGAACACTATAGCTACTTTTACTATCTTCCAGTCCCTGTATGGTTGTAAGCACATTTTTAGAGCTATAGTCATGATACACATTATCCTGAAGTTTGTTATATTTTACCCATAATAAATGCTTCTCCGTATTGCTACTTAATCTTCGTAATTATCACTATGGCTCTATAAGAGGCAAAGTGTGACTGTATCAAAATCTATGTAGTAATTTCTGTGTTTTTTTCCATTTGCTGTAATAGATATTGCTGATGTTAACTTCTTCATGCAGATTTTTATTGCATTACCTTTCAGTAATCATGAATATGCTTCATCCCCTTTGCTGCCATATTGCTTCTCAAAAGAACTATTACTAATTTACAATGCCACCAATATGATACCAGTGAGTCAATTTTACTACATCAGGTGCTTTGAATATTGTTGCTTTCATACATTTTTGAGAATTAATATTTTAAAGTTGGGTCCCAAATTTGCTTTAATCTGCATTTTTTTGGATGCCAGTAGGCAGGTTCTTTTTTGCACGTGCACTGTTTATAATTGCCCTTGTGTGAAATGTCTGTTCATATTGTGGTTAAATTTTGAATGAGTTTCTTGTTTGATGTCTTTCCTTAGAAGAGAGAAAAGCAATAGGAGAGAGAGTGCAGTATTGCAGCCCAGGGACCAGAGTGGTACTTACTACATTATTCATTGGGTTAATAACTCCTCCTGGAATCTTCCTAAGAAAGCCTAGCTGTTCCAGAATCTAAAGTGCTAGTCTCTTCTGCTGCCCTGAACTGCGAAGTGAGAAAAGTGATTGTATAATAAATGCCCTTGGCTGTGCTTGACGCAGTGGTGGAAATGACATAATTTCTTACTGTTTATGAAAAAGAGTTGGACACCAGCCCAGGTTACAATAATGCAAATGAAAATTATGTGATTGGAGAGTCAATTTGTTTCCTAATGTCTCTGAAGTATACAGAGTATCCCCGAGTGTCTCCATTGGAAGAGTCCTTCTGATATGATTCAAACCCTTGGCCCAGAGGAGTGAAGTAACTTGCCCAAACTCACACAGCAAGCTAAAAGCCCAGCTCCCGATTCTCACTGCATCTTTCCTGTGTCCTGAATGTGAATGTAAATGATCCTGTGATTCTCTCCTTCCAGGGATTGTCTGCCTCCCAGTCTGGACGATTTCCAGAACACAGCTCTGGGAGTGCTTTCTGTGTTGGGAGTTGGCTTCCTTTTCCTGCAAGCCTCCAATGAGAACTCTGGGCCTTTTCTTTCCGGGAACTCAAAGTATTGTACCATGCAGGGCCTGAGCAGTAGCTGAATAGTTTGCCAGAGCACAAATCCTCCTGGAAGAACCTATGAGTGTTAGAAACTGGGTTTGTATGAAGGCGAGCCTTTTGACTCAGTCAGTAAGGCTTTCTGGCTTAATACCTCATTTCTGTTTTCTTGATGATTAGATGAAGAAGGGAACTAACCTTTGATTAACACACACTATGTAGTAGGTACTATCTCTTTTAATTTCATAAAAACACACCGGCCTTCACACCAGTCACAGATTTAGAAACGGAGGCTCAGAGAGGTTGCATAACAGCTAAGGTATCATTATCTCATTGATCCTCAACTGGGGTGGGGCCCTAGAATGGCCAGTCAGAACGGCCTAGGGGCTTTTTCAAACTATCCGTGCATGTTTCCATGCACCTCTCCTGTTGAGAACAAGTGCATCCTACAGTGCCACCTGTGGGATTTGTGTGCCCAGGTGCTACCCGACAGACATCTATTCTGGACAAGTGCCAACAAACTGGTGCTGTCTAGTGGGAGGTAGAAATCCACGTAGAGGGGAAAATTCCTTATAGAAGAAGAGATAGAAGAATTCCAAGGATTGTGACACTGGGGAACATAACTCAAGACCAGAGAAGAGAGAAGTCTTGGTGGGTGGGAACGTACCAGGGGCAGGCCCAGGGGAGGCTGACCAATTCCCAGGGAGAATGTGGTCAGGGGAGGGGGGCCTGGTGCAGGATTTGGGGGGCACTTGTGGCAGAATCTCGGTCTACCACATTAGTATAGAGAGACAGCAGCTCCGGTAGAAGGAGCACTTGACCAGGAGTTCTAAGACTTAGTCCGGGCTGTGTGACTTCAGGCAAGTCACATCACCTCTCTGTGACTTGGTTTCATTGATTGATTTGGTTAATTCTACCCGAGGATATTTTTTCCACTGATTTCTAGAGAGAGTAGAAGGGTTGGAGGGTGGTGGGGGGGGGAGAGATGAGAGAGACACATTGTTTGGTTGCCTCCCCCATGTGCCCCAACTGGGACCAGGGATCGAACCTGCAGCCCAGGTATGTGCTCTTGAGTGGGAATTGAACCTGAAATCCTTCGGTGTGTGGGCTGATGCTCCAACCACTGAACAACACTGGCTAGGGTGTCTTTCTCTTTAAAATAGACATAAAAATAACCTTCTCTGGCTACTTCTCAGAAGGATTATGGGAAATGATTGAGTTAACTCATATGACAGTTTTTAATAAATTATGAAACACTATGCAAATGTCACAGAAGGACTACTAGGTACAGCTATAAGTTCTAATTCATCATTCAGAATTTCAGTGTTTTCAGCTGTGTTTTATCAATGAGGTGAATTTGGTGCTTATTGAGAATCTGTGCACCAAAGCTTGGCTCAGGGCAAGCCCCCCATGTTAGTATCCCTACCCCACCCTGATGTTGTTGTACCACTAGCCCAATTAGTATGGATATCAGCTACATAGAAAATACCCTCTGATAGTGATCTAACTGCCCTTTAAAAAAGCCCAGCTCTTGTTCTTTAAACAGTTTTTGATGAAAAGGTCATTCATGTAAAAATATATATATCATAGAAATACAACTTAAAGAATAAGACAAACCACACACTGAGCTGAGGAAAAAAGTATCTCCAGTATCTGAAAAGCGCCTACTTGTCCATCCCTGATGCAATCCCTTCACTCTCCTGTTCCCATTGTGTGTCAGTCTTTCTCTTGCATTTAAAAAACAGCTTTACCACATATATTATCCCTGAGCAATATGTTCTTTAGTTTTCCCTGTCTCTGAACGTCTATAAAGGGGTCATAGCATGAGTATTCTTCTATAACTTGCTTTTTGCATCTGTGACCTCCCTGTGTTGAGAGATGTGGCTATAGAGCTGGAGTTCATTCATGTTCACTGCTGGATAGCACTCCCCTGTGGGAATGTATTATAATTTATTTATCCTCCAACAACGAATGGACACTGGGTGGTTTCCAGGTTGGGTATAGTATAAACAACACTTGTATATGTCTCCTGTGCGTGCTCTTGTGCTATTGGTTTGTAGTAGCTCTTTATAGATTCTGCACAGACTCGGGTGCCAGTTGTGTGTATTCTCCTCTCCTGGTCTCCGGCTGGTCTTCTCACTCTGTGTGTGATTTCTTTTTCTTAAACAAATAGACATTTTTAATTGTAGTGCAGTTAACCTCAATCTTTTCTTTCATCTTTTCCTTTCATTGTTGGCATCTTGTTCAGGAAATTATTTTTTTTTATCTGAGGTCAGAAATACGATCTCCTGTAAAGTTTAAAAATGCCAAATGTCTTTCTTAGGGCTGTTCTGTCACCTGAGCTCCCGAATCTTTCCATAAAGTGCTCCTGGAAGTTGAGGCTATTTCTATTCCCGTGGATCTTCTCAGCACGGAGGGCTTTGAGTTCTGATTCCATTCGTGGAGTGGGCGCTGCAGGCCTAGTAGCTCTCAAAGGCCGCGTGTGTCCTGCGCTCTCTAACGGCCTCAGGCCTCTAGGGGGCGCTCTCACACCAGATACGGAGCTCCCTGCAGCCTGCGGGGCTCAGAGATGGAGCCATCCAGAGACTCCTCAAGCCCAGCCTCTGCCAGGGTGCCCTTACCTCCCTGCAGGCCGCAGGGGAGCACCTTAGCCTCAGCCGATGCCCTCCTGCTCTCACCCAGCTTCACCCTGGGACTACACCGCTGGTCCCAGGCCTCTCTCCCTTCTTGCTTTTGAAGGAACTACACCAAAGCTTCCCAGCGGGTCTTGCTTTCGAATCTGCCCTCCCACCTCTTGCTCTATCTCCTTTCTTGGAAACTTTCTGATCCCTAATGTCTTTTGGGGGACAACTCAGTAAAGATTTGTTATTGGGTCAGAGGCTACTGTGGTTCAAGGCTGAGCTGCTGTGGCTCCTGGTGCTGCACTCTGGCCCTGGTCCTGGGGGGAGGCCAGGCAACCAGTGGCACTAGGAGAGGGAGGGGGCGTGGTGGCTGCTAGGGCTTATGGGCTCAGGAACAGGGTGAGCTACCGCCAGGACCACTCGGGCCAAGAAGCAGGCCGAGGGGCTGAGGCCCGGGACAGGGAAGGCTGGTGCGCCAGATACTAATTTGAATCCCGGCTCCTCCACTAACTAGATGCCAGACCTTAGTCAAGTTACTCACCCTTTATCCAACTCAATCTCTTCATCTGTACAATGAGATAACAAAGTCTGTCTTGCAGGTAATTGCATGTACAGTGCCTTGCAGTCCATTTAGTTGCCTCTGGTTTCCCTTTTTCGTCTCATCTCTAATCTCAGGAGTCACTGATGCAATATTGGGGGTGCTTGAACCCCCTAGAAGGTGCAAGAAGCCCTCTTGGCTTCTGGGTCTGGAAGCTTTTCTAAGTGAGCGCTTCTCAAGCTGTAACATCCGTAGGAGTCATTGTTTCGCCATAGCCTTTCTCAAACTCTGTAGGTTAGTGGCCAGGACCAGGCATCTCACACTTAATACTCGCTGTAATGTGTACGTCAGGTCACTTGGAGATGTTGTTAAAATGTAGATTGAGTCTCTGGGTCAGCCTGGGATGCTGCATGTCCAAAATTCTCCCAGGTCGCGCTGTTGTCTGGTCCTTAGAAACACCTGCATAGCGTGGTACTACGTCCCTGGAATCGTTAAGCTAGAATGATTTAT